TTGTTTGTTTGTTATTCTGCGAAGGGATGTGATGGCGGATGCAAACATATTTCAAGGTGCTATATTTCATGAGGATGTAGTGGAGGATACTAATGGGACTGAAACTACTAAATGTAATCCACCTGAAAAAGGAAAGGGAAATGGAGAAAATTTGTGGAATCCTCTTGAATCAAAAGCAAATAAAGCTAAACCTGCCGCACATCGGGTATGATTGCAGTCCCACCCACGAAATCACGCGCTCTTGTGTAATGCGCTGATTTTTCTAACATGCTATCTTTTCAAAATGTTATCTTTAGGGGTTCTTGGCTCGTGCCAAAGGGATACCTGCGTTGGAGTTGTACAGGCTTGCTCAAAAGAAAAAACGGAACCTTGTGTTATGTGGTCACTCACTTGGTGGAGCAGTAAGTCCGTTAGCTGTTTTGCTTGACAGTTTACTTGTTAGTGATCTCTTTGCTTGTTATTGGTTCGAACTCATACTATCTTTGCTCTTTGGACGATGTAGGTAGCAGTATTAGCTACCCTTGCTATTTTGAGGGTGGTCGCTTCTTCTTCTTCTTCATTAAAGGAGAATGGAAATGTTAAAGTCAAATGCATCACATTTTCCCAGCCCCCTGTTGGGAATGCAGCTTTAAGAGAGTAGGTTTCTTGCCCTTTTTCAACTGTCTTTTTCTGGTATTTCGTAGTTAGCAAAGATTATTCGTGTCTCTATTTTCTTATTCCAGCATAACTAAATCTCCGTTTTTTATCATCTATTTTCTTGTAGTTATGTTAGTAGAGAGGGATGGCAGCATTACTTCAAGAGTTACTGCATTCCTGAAGATCTGGTGCCTCGCATCCTGTCTCCTGCTTATTTTCATCATTATAACGCACAATCTCCTTCAGTGCCTGCTGAAACCGGAACTACCAGGATATCCATGTTAAAAAGCGAGGAAGTAGTAGGACAACGCAAAGAGAATGGTGGCGAGCAGTTGGTTCTGGGTTTGGGACCTGTGCAGACTTCTATGTGGAGACTTTCGAAGCTTGTTCCCTTAGAAGGCATAAGAAGACAATTTAACAAATACAGAGGAAAGAAAGTTGATTCTGTGGAGACATCTTCTCAATCAGATTCTGTTGCAACAACTGTAGTAGATGATGACATGGTAGAACCACAGTCTCTTGAAATACAAGAAGGTTCTGATGGTATATCTCTTAAGCCTATCTCAGAAACTGGTAAAGAGCCACCGGGTGTAGCACCAAGTGGGAAGTTAGCTAAAAAAAGCTCCACAAAAAATGGGGATAGCCGCACATGGCGCAGAGTCCCTTATTTACCTTCATATGTACCATTTGGGGAGGTATTATATTACAAACTGGAAGCCCTTGTATAATCTTCTTCAAGCGTAGGTGCATGTATGTGGGCTTGCAAAGTAGTCCAAACTATTGAATGTGTGATGGTTGCTATCAGTATTTTTCTTGTTGTGTCTTCTACTCCCTGAGATCTCTATAATCTTAGATTGGCGTTGCAATTGTTAAGTTGCTTATGGTATTTTGTGTATTTTCCGTTTGTCTGCAATGAGCTGTAAGCTAAAGTACTTAATTGCCAGTCCTCAGTAGCTACGCATTCTTGATTTAGTCAACAAGATTTGTCTTCTATGCCGTTACCCAACCTATATGCTTGGAGAAAACATTTTTAGCAAATACCGTCTCGGTTTACCTGTTAGGAAACATAGTTGATGCCATCTTGCTTTGTACTTCAAAGTGATTTTTGTTATGCTTTATTTAATTTTTTTTTTCCGGCATGAAGGCATTATTTGCTCTCTTTGCTGATGACATTATGATTTTATCTTGGTGCTTTTGTATGCCTAAAATGCTAATTGTTAACTTGGTTTACAGTTGTCAACTGAACTCGTCTGAAATTCTTTTATGTTGTGCCAGCTTTATCTCTTGGACAATTCGTCAGTGAAGTCACTATCAGATGCAGAGTACTCAAAGTTGACATCGGTAGGCACTTCCTTTGCTTGACCATCAGTTATTTCTTTTTCTTTTTTCTTTTGGATTATATTAGTTCTGCTGTTTAAGGGTTTTTGTTGACATTTTTTTCTTGTTTACACGTAGTTATTAGTTGTCATAGTGTCTGGAATATCTCATTTTATTTGCTTTCTTCTGGCAAAGGCATTTTCAGGTCAGGTCTGTGATTGCGGAGCTGAGGGAACGATTTCAATCACATTCAATGAAGTCATATAGGTTTCGCTTCCAGAGGTAATAATGATTCTACCTTACAAAAATATATCTCTTATTTATCCGATTATTTGTTGACCTGCTGCAATATCCTTTCTTCCCAAATTGGTGTGACACTGGTTTGAAGGACTATGTTTGCCTTTTGGTTTATCTTATTTGTTGCTTTCTTTTCATCCTGTTTTCCTTACAAATAATCTTTACAAATATCAAATCACATTTGGACCTATGTCAGTGACCAAGCATTTAACATATGAATACAACAGATGATCTAAATCTATATCCAGGAATGAGACAAGGTGCAGTGTAATCTAGTTAGGGCATCTAATTTGAATTTCTTGCACCTTGTACCTGGAATTCGGTATGTAGTTGGAAAATGCAATCTCATGTCTTCATTTGGACCTTGTTGTAACTTTTCTTCCATTTCTTACTTGACGGGACCTTGTTGCCTCTGCAGAATCTATGACCTGTGCATGAAAGATGATACGTCACCTTTTTCAGCCATAGAACAACTACAGCAGTTTCCACATCTACAGCAGTGGCTTGGTCTTGCAGTTGCAGGAACTGTGGAGCTTGGGCATATTGTTGAGTCTCCAGTTATTCGGACAGCTACTTCAGTTGCTCCTCTTGGGTGGAATGGCATACCTGGTGAGAAGAACGGAGATCCCGTAAAAGTTGATATCACTGGTTATGGACTGCATCTTTGTACACTTGTGCATGCCCAAGTGAATGGTAACTGGTACTGTTCTGTGCAACTGTATTACAACCTTCACCAATGATTCTACTCTATATGCAGTCAATTATTTTAACATTGTATCTTCAATTAGGTGTTCAACAACAGTAGAATCGTTTCCTTCAACCCCAGCTTATTCTTCAAATTATGGAGAAAATCTGGAACTACAAAAAATGCGAGTCTTAATTGGAGCCCCATTGAAACAGCCACCAAAGCATCAGATGGAAGCAGATTCAATGATGCATGTGTATTCTGCTATTGATTCCAGCACAGCTAATCTTAATAGGGAGCACACTTCAGGACCATTTCATGAGGAAAAGTCCATGCGTCCTGAAGGGTTAAGTGAATTTTTCATATTTTGTACCAGTGACTTCACCACAGTTTCTAAAGAGGTGCATGTGAGAACTCGTAGGGTGCGGTTACTCGGTCTTGAGGTATTGATGCTTGAATTCTTGGTAATAAAAACTTGTCTTATATATTTTATTTCATGTAGTTACTCACATGATTTATTGCCCATGTAGGGAGCCGGAAAGACTTCCCTTTTTAAGGCAATACTATCCCAAGGCAGAATTACCCATATTACAAATATTGAGAATCTGCTTCCAGAAACTGACGCCCAAGAAGGTATTTCTCTTGGTGTATGCTTCTGTGATTCAGCAGGGGTAAATTTGCAGGTATTTCCTCCTTCCATGGTAAAGAATGTCCCTGTTGGCATGGATTCTTTTATACTTTCTCACGATTTATTGTAATATTTCTCGAATTTGTGTTGCAGGAGCTGAATTTGGAGGCTACTCGTTTCAGAGATGAACTATGGACAGGAATTCGTGATCTTAATCGGAAGACCGACTTGATTGTTCTTGTTCATAACTTGTCTCATAGAATACCACACTTCAATCACTCAAATGGATCGCAACAAAAGCCAGCCCTTACACTTCTGCTGGACGAGGCGAAATCTTTGGGAATTCCTTGGGTCCTTGCCGTAACAAACAAATTTTCTGTAAGTGCTCATCAGCAGAAGGCAGCAATTGATGCTGTTGTCCAGTCATACCAAGCATCTCCAAGGACCACGGGCGTTATCAATTCCTGTCCATATGTCACGCCAAGTGCAGCAAGCACTAATTTGTCATGGGGTGCAACCACCGGAGATGCTGATGGAAGGATGGGTGCTCAAAGCTTATTTTTTGCTCCCATCAATTTTGTTAAGCGGCCTTTCCAGAAGAAAGAAATTATTCTCCCAGTTGAGGGTGTCAACTCTCTTCGTCAAGTAGTCCATCATGTACTGCGGAGCCATGAGGAAGCTGCGTTGCAGGTGAACAAATGTTTCATAGATCTTATGTTGCAATAGGGTTTTTCTGCTCTCAAGATTTGTTGCTTACTGTTTCACTGTCATATATGCTTGTCGACGGGGGTGGTAGTGGTATAAATACCATTTTATCTACCAAAATTATTCACGTCTTCTAAATGTTTTTCGATTTGAAGGAACTTGCAAGAGATAGGCTGTTGGTGGAAGTGGCAAGAGAGCGTGCAATCGCCATGGGACGTGATTCTCAAGCCAAGTCAAATTCTCTTACTTCTGCAGCTGTGGGTGCTTCCCTCGGAGCCGGTCTTGGCATTGTCTTGGCTGTTGTCATGGGTGCAGCATCCGCCTTGAGGAAGCCTTAGAGAACTCACATCTCCGTAATTTATGCGGCGCAATCAGCAGTTGTTTCATGTTCGTAGTTGTAGTTACAGGCCATTTTTTCATTTTTGTTGCTCTTAAAAGTGAATTGAGTTAACAAAATAGGTCTTCTTGTAATGGTAAATGTTCTCCCGAATAATTTTTAATTTACTGTACATATAAATTTATTTTGATAGATGTATGGTTAATGTATCCTTGTGCACCTTTGTTTCTTATACCAAAAAATCATTGATTAATTGTAAGGCTTTGTTGGTCCAAAAAAAATTGAAAGGGTTTGTAATTTAGCTGCTTAAGAACATTTACCTATGCACCAGATATCTCGAGTTCGAATTCTCACTCCCCCGATAATGATTTTTCTATTCTGGACTCTTGTTTGGGACTAAAAAAGTTTAATTTCCAAATAATTAATAATAAAACCCAACCAAAGTTGAAAATAAAACCTCCAAAGAATTCAAAACTGTTCAAAATCAGATTGTGGATGTGCAATTAAAGATTTATGAATGACTGCTGGGGGTGAAGGAACACTCTGAATGGAAACGTAAAACCCAAGGAATAGGGATCATCCACCGCAACAAGAGAGATTCATCCGGCTTTTCGAGTCTGCCCCGTTTTTCATCAGGCTTACTCGGTTCACAGACAACTCGGCCTTGTAGGAATCAGAATTTAGGACTTTGCGGCTGACGTTGTTGTAAATCTCCCGGATTACTATCTCAAAAGCCGTTTGAACGTTGGTGGAATTCAGTGCAGAAGTCTCCATGAAGAATAGCCCTTCTTCCTCAGCAAGGTTTTTGCCTTCTTCCAAGCTCACAGCCCTAATGTCCTCCAAATCACACTTGTTTCCTACCAGCATCCGTGCTACCGTTGTTTCACAATGAGCTGCGTAATCATTCAATTAAGCGTTAACTGTCTGACCCTCGATAAATTAGAAATACGAATATGAATGTCAAAATGATCAGAAAGTTAAAACAAAACCTGCAAACTAATTAAGGGGTAATACCAACAAGTTCTATAAGCATCTTAATGAATCCAAAGTATTAGCCACTGAATTACTCTAAGTTGCATCTATTTGAAAACACACAAAAATACCAAGGTTCGTATTTGTTAGACGGGATATTTCTGGAAGAAACTTCGGCTGCGGAACAGAATATAATGAGCATTCACAATCAATTTCTTACGCTTTCACTAAATCATGTCAAGCACATTGCACAATTTGAGGAATTTAGAAACATAAGCAAAACTATATACCATTGGAAACGAAAGGAAAACTATAAGCAAAACCTATTTAATTATCAAGATAAAATTTCATTATTTCTTATATAACAAAGTATTTTTTAATTTCTTTGAACCCAATTAGATGTCTTAAACATTTCCAATTTAGCTAATATTTTGCAAAGATGATCTATGAGGTACAATTGAAAAATAAACGGTTCAGATCGTTAATAGTCGATGTAGTGTGAACCCTACAACTAATTCTTATTTTTATAAAAAAATGAATATCCATTCCCTTAAAGATTCCATTTTATATATATATCTTATACATTCGAACGGTTGCTAACTACTAGTAGCAATATAATTTGTATGGTCTACAAGTAGTAACCATAACCATTTATCCCCGCATTTGCCGATACGAATAAAAAAATTGTGTTGTTAGTTTTTTAACATATTAGGTTTGTAACTTATTTTTTTGCTTTTAGATTTTATTACTTATTTTATTTGGGTTACATGTTAATTTAACTTGTACGAATGATTGCTATTTCAATTTGTATAAATTTATGAATACCAAATCATCCTAAAATACCGAAAATAATTCGAGAATTCCAAAAATTAGGAATACCAAAATTTTGGTTTAGGATTAGTCTTCAAATTCCCGTTCCGAAAATTTTCGGTTTGCGATTTGAGATTCCATTTTCGATTTGGAATCTCATACCGAATCACCCCTAATTTCATTAACCAAATAATCTCTTCATTGTTCCTACATTTTCTCACAAACCAAACGGAAAAATCAATCTGGGTAGGCAAAAACTTACTGGTAAAGAAAAATACAGCTAAAACAATCACCCTCTGCTAACCAAAACTTGATATCATCCAAAACCCACAAAAATTCTTCATTTTCCCGCATTTTCTCACCAACCAAACAGAAAAAACCTATCTTTAACAAAAGGATCATGCAAAAACTTACTGGTAAGCTCATCGAGCCAGCGCTTGACGCTCTCGAAGGTGGTCTTCCTACTGATATCGTAGACAATCAGGGCGCCAACAGCGCCTCTGTAGTAAGCAGAGGTGACGGCCCTGAAGCGCTCTTGGCCGGCGGTGTCCCAGATCTGGGCTTTGATCATTTTGCCGTCGATTTCCAATTCTTGGGTCAGAAACTCGACCCCGATTGTGGCCTTGTTGTTGGGGTCGAACTCGTTGCGGGCGAACCGCGAGAGGAGGTTGGACTTGCCCACCGCCGAGTCGCCTATTAGCACCACCTTGAACAAGTACTCCTCTCCTCCGAGCCCTTCCTCCATTGGGTCTCTCTCTCTCTCTCTCTCTCTCGGTTTCTCTCCGTGAGTTTTCTTCGAGACACTGACTTGCTTGGACTTTTTATGGAAAGGAAAGGCGTTTTGTGCGCGTGTGTGTGCATGCGAGGAAGTTCGGGTTAGTTTTGTAGAGATTGAAATTAGCTTAGGACAATGCTGCGTAATTGGCGGGTTAATCAAATTTTGGTGATTTTCTTAATATTTCTTTTTGTTGTTATATATACTTTTTTATCCGTTGAGTTTTGGGGTTTGGCCTTTGACTTGCGAGTGGGATATTACGGTAACCACACTTAATTCTAATGACATCACAAGCACAATTACAAATCAATTACATAGTGGTATGTGTCTCAATTTATTCATATAAAAACGCGTTAATAAATTTAGGTGTCGTCACCGTAGTATCTCACTCACATGAATGTTTCATGAGACAATAACTGTGTTCATCATTAAACGCACATTTTGTCCATTCAGTTATAATTAATGTATTTTCACTATTAAAATAAAATTCATAATCGTAATTGTTCATTTGCATAACCATTTAGCCATTTATTGAACTAATCAACTATTTTAATTACAAAAATCCTCAAGAAAAACCATCCATGTATTCTTTACATATTAATTGCTACAAATATCTAATTTAATTAATTTTTTGTTAAAGTATTTTTAAATAATTATTAAGAAAATAGAATACTCCAATTATAATATTTTTTAAAAAGAAAAATAACGAAATTCATTAACACAAAGTATATCCTACCCTTTATGGGTGTGTGGTGACCATAAATGGCTTTTATTTGCATGCAGATACAAATTAAGCTATAATTAATCGATATGGTTGTGTCGGTTAAGTGGGTACTCATATTGAAAGCAAGCCGGACAGCGATTTGTGACAATATTTATTGGAAAAAAAAAATTATTTGGACGTTATGATAGCATGTGGTTTCATTTGATGATAACAAGAACATCAATCACCATTTCAATCATGACATGAATGTTACAATTAAATCGTCACACGACGTTTCAAATTCGTATATAGTAATTGATGAGTTTATAAACACACCACATGACGGCATGCGTTCCCATAAAGCATGCTCTACCATGCTTATGCTAGTTTTCTTGTTTCGCATTTTGTTATGGTACACAAGTGAGTACTTCAGTATTATTATTTTTTATAATAAAAAAATAGTTAAATCAATTTTTAGTAATGATAAGGACAAAATTAACGGGAGCCAGGCTTAGAAACTAAAGCCCAGCACGCAGAATAAAAGGCCCAGAGTGCACCAATTACTTTAATTCCAACATGTGCCCCTGACAAAAGTATTTCTCCGTCAGCCCATTCCGTTAACTTCCTTAAGCCCAAGTCCAAATTTCAGTCCTCTCAACAGACCTTAGTCCAAAAATAAATAAAAAACCAGAAGGAAAAAAGAAAAAGTAAAAAAAGAATCAATTCTCTGAAGGAGTCCTTCCCTACAAAACCTCCATTTGTAGTAAGAAAATATGCCATGCTTAAGTTAAGGGGGATTAAGCCTACTATATGTGTAGTAAGTAAAAGTTCTCAGATGGGTACTAGGTTAATCTGGAAGGATGAATAGGTTACAACTTAAAAATTCAAAATCAATTTTCAATTTAATTTTCACATTCACAATACATATCAACTTATCATACACATATGCAGTAAAAAAGATAAATAAAATATTCACATAGTATGTAGGATTTAACGAGGCAAAACCCACTACTGAGAAATTCCTCGGCTCCCAAGCCAATACACACGCTAAGAGAAATGAGTATAGAAAGACTTACAAAACTCATTCAACTAGACACACCTATTAGTAGGCAGTTTTGTCTTCACGCTTTGCTACTCATGTAGAATTATCAAAGAGGCGGGTCATAAGCCAACTTCCAACAACACTGATATTGTCTCTACTTTGGTAATTATCACTTACATAATCTGTCAGGTGTGGGGTTTTATTATAAAATTATCAGAGAGATGGGCCAAGGACTCATTACCAACAACATTGATATTGTTCCCAACTTGGTAATTACCACCTGCACAATCCATCATGTGTGAGGTTTTATCACAAAAAACCTCGGTATTAGTTGTAGTGGGTTTAAGATATTTAAACTCTTTTTTCTTTCTCTAGCTGATGTGGGATTTCAACACATCTCCTCACGTGAGACCTAATTAGTGGGTCACACATAGAAGATCCACACATCGGCAACCACGTGAAGTCAATAGGACTCAGCTTACATGCGGGGCGAAGGGAACCCACCCATCATGTGACAATACAATACTGGCCCGCTCCCTGGTTCTGATACCATGTAGAATTATTAGAGAGACAGGCAAAAGGCTCATTACCAACAACACTGATACTGTCCCCAACTTGGTAATACCACCTGCAAAATTCGTTAGGTGTGCAGTTTTATCACAAAATGCCTCGTTATTAGTTGGAGTGGGATTATGATATTTAAACTTTTCTTTCTTTCTTTCTTTCTCTAGCCGATGTGGGATTTTAACATTTGTCATAAAAGACCTCGGTATTAGTTGGAGCGATGTTAGGACATTTAAACCCTTCTTTTCTCAGAGATATGGTCGATATGGGATATTTCAACAACTCGATCCCTCTTCAGCATTTGAGTGAAAGTGGCACGACACTAACGTGGTCGTTAATAACTTTCTTTTTAAACTTTGCAAGATACTAACGTGGTTGTTAGTCACATTCTTCCCGAACTCTATAGGATAATAATGAAAGGAAAAACCTTGCAAGGGCTTATAAGAGGTTGTGCTACTCCCATATTGCCAATTTCTTTTATGGTGGAAGGTCAACTTTCTTCACCCAATTCGTGTTGTCCACATGTTTGGCTTGAAAATTCACCATGCGTGAGAAAGCGTGTGAGAATATGAAGGTAAAATAGTCCCACATTGGTGAAAAGAGAAACTTTGTAAAGGCTTATAAAACGTTGGACTACTCCTTATATGACCAATTTATTTTATGGTGGAACCTTAATTTTCTTCAAATAACATGATCATGCAAATATATAAAATAATATAATTTTTAAAGACCAACCAACTCCGTTTGGCGGCTGCCGTCAAACTTGCTTTCAAAAATAATATTTAGACAATGCTTTTTTTATTAGCACCCCACAAAATGTTGAATGCACCTCACATTAAAATTTAATATTAAATGACTTATTTACCCCACTATGCAATGACAATTTTGACCTTATTAGGTTTTAAAAAAATGAAATAAAAATCTCAAAATACACCCCAAATCACTAAACCCTATTATTTATCTTCTCAACTATCAAAACCCTCCCACCCTCCATTGTTGAACAAAACCCTAATCAATGAAACTATAAACATGTTGATTGAGAAAAAAATTTCGGAACCTTCACATGAGGTAAGACTTCATATGCCTTTTTCATATCCCTTATGGCCTCAACTATGTTTCATCGGTGGTTTGGTTAATTTCATATTCCTTTTTTTTTTCTTCCATTGGTTATTCATTTTCTTCTTTGCAGGTTACAAATCCAGCCAGTGATCCTCTTAGAGAAGGTTTGGTTATGTCCCTTGAAATGAACATTGGAAAGCGACAAAATATTTTGGAGGTTGGACCTAAAAATGCATCACAAGTTTGTTGGCATGTACCACTCTGCCTATTGATATTGAGTTGTATGGTTCTTAACAAATAATTGAGGTGTATGATTCTTAGTAAATAAATGAGGATTTGATAATAATTTTTGGTGTATTTAAATAGGATAGCATACAAGGCAATACCTCTATAGGGGATAGTGAGGTTGCAACAACGAGCGTTGTTGATTACACAAACGCATTTAAAACTGACAAGGTAACTATTTTTAGTATATTGAATGTGCATCTGTGATTTTCATGGAAACTCTTGCATTCTTTTATGCAGCACAGTGCATTAGGTTCATAATAGGGAATAACATATGGGTTGGAATCTTAGCATGTCTACAAACATTTTGTTAGTGGAAAATGGCAATGATCTTGTATGTACAGGTGTTCAAAAGTAAAAATGATTTGCTTGATTGGACTCGCGCACAAGGAAAAAAGAATAATATGGTTATTGTCATTAAGAGGTATAATGCGGGAGGGGTTGACCGAAGGAGGAAGAGAGCTCGAATAACATTTGCTTGTGAGAGACATGGTGAGTATCGATCCATATTGAGGAAGTCTGATATTAATGACCAAAATTCTGATGCAAATAATAAGAAGAAAAAAGAACCCAGGAATATTGGTACTAAAAAATGCGGATGTCCATTTATGTTGAAAGGAGTCAATGTTGGAGAAGGAGATGAATGGAAATTGGAGGTTGAGTGTGGGGTGTATAGAAGATGTGGGGTGTATGTACAAAATATAAGGTGTATATTGAGAATGTGGGGTATGAGGGTATTATGGAAAAGTATGTGGGGTGTATTAAGATAATTTTTAAGTGAAAAAGTAAATGTGGGATGTATTAAGTATGTGGGGTTTATTCAACAATTTGTGGGGTGTTAATATAATAAGCCTTGGACAATCTGACATTCATTTTTCAAAAAGAAAAACTCTTGCAAAAACATTCGTTGAAAACCGGTGATTAAATTTGCTACGCACTAAAATGCAACGGAAGCGGCGTTATTTTTTTAGAGTAAATTACAAAAAATTACCTCAATTATGGATTGAACTATAATCTCATACCTTATGTTTGAAAAATTACAATGTCATACCTCATCTTTCAAATTTGTTGCAAAGTCAAACATTCGTCAATTTTTCTATTAATTTTTCTGTTAAATGCTAACGTGGGCTTCACTCCCTAGTCCAACTAGATTAAAAAATTAATTAAATAACAAATTAATTTAATATTTTTATAAAATAAGTGGGACCCACTCTCACCAAATTTATCTGTAACCAAACACCCACAATCTCCATGCCAATTTCAAACAAAAAAACCCTAATTTCCCCCAAACCCAAACCCTAACCCTAATTTCAAATTGTTAGCCCTAATCACCCCCACATCAATGTCTGCACCATCATTGTCGTCGCCCACAACCTCTACTAGGAAGCCCCAGCCATTGCCGTGAACCTAAGAGGAGACGGTGCAGCCAAGGAGGGGCCATCAGAACTCGAGTCAGTGGAAAGAGTTGGTGGTGATCGTGGCGACCAGGTGCAACTACGAGTTCGGCGAGTCATCGAAATCCACATGCAATGTCGCCGCAAGATGAAGAATTTCTTGTAGAGACACCGCGCTGTGAAAAAGTGCCTCAGACAGAGAACTAATTATGGGTGGCCTTTCTTTGAGAACCAGAGAACCAGAGCGCCTCGAGCCATGCCCATCTTTGCTATGCCCATGGAGGAGATGCCACATCAGCAAGAAGAAGAAGAGATGGAGAGATTTTTCGAAAATGCCTCGTTTTTGTAAGGACTGGCGGCAACATCAGTTAAAGAGAGGGAGAGAGGCGGTGGCGGACGACGATGGTGTAGAGTGGAGATGAGAAAGGAAACAGAAAAGTGTAAAGTGGAGATGAAGAAGAGGAAGATTATGGGGGAGTTTGGTTTCAAAGATTAATTTGGTGAGGTTGATGAGTTTGTAGGGGTGGGTCCCACTTTGTTAATAAAAATATTTAAATAAATTTATGATTTAATTTTTTAATGCATTTGGACTAAAGAGTAGGGCCAATCTCAAGCCACGTCATCATTTAACAGAAAAACTAATGGATGTCTGACATTGAAACGAATTTGTAGGATAAGGTATGACATTGTAATTTTTCAAACATGAGGTATGAGATTATGGTTGGACCTATAATTGAGGTGGTTTTTGGTACCCCTTTTTGTATTTCAAAACTAATGGTAGCAGCCGCAGCCTTTTTCCTTTCTTCTTTAAAGGACAAACCATATTCTAATGCATAATTTATTTATAGAGTTTATAGGGTTTTTATCACAAATGGTTTCTAAAACTGACTCTCACCATCAAGATGGTCCTTGAAATTGAAAACCAATTAATGTAGTCCCTGGAAATAAGTGTCGCAAATCAATATGATCATTCCGTCACAATTCTGTTAAAAATTCTGTTAAATGTTGATGTGGCACATAAATAGGCCCCACAAGATTTACGGGTTTTTATCACAAATGGTCCTTGAAATTGACTCACACCATCAAGATTATCCCTGAAATTGACCCACACCATCAAGATGGTCCCTAAAATTGAAAATCGATGAATGTAGTCCTTGAAAATAAGTGTTGCAAATCAATATGATCATTTCGCCACAATTCTGTAAAAAATTTGTTATGTGCTGATGTGGGTACAATAATTAATTAAAAAGTTGTCTAGATACCTTTTTGCACAATAGAATTTTTTTCTTATAGTAGAACCTACTCCGAAGAGAGATCCCTTACATAAATTCTCAAAGGCACAAGACTTAACCAAGGTCTAAGAGGGGGTTTGGAAATAGTTTTCAACAAAAAATTGATGCACCTCAATTATAACCTCATTATCTCAAGGTAGACCTCGCCATTCTTTGAGTCACCAGATCACCAGGGAAATGACATGCCCCGATCCTAATATCCCCAAATACCAGGATAGACATGTGATGCCAACACCCGAGTGTGACGAAGCCATTTTAAACATGCATACAGATGAAATATGTGATTAGAAACAATATACTAAAGCAGAACCGTGGTCAGAGCATATAACTAATCAAGAATAATGTGAAAGAATTATTATAAAAAGATACGAACTGAGGAATGGATCATACACAAAGTAGACTCGAAGATGCTTAAGCAGAAGTGCCGTGACGCCGGGATCGTGTGCCTCGAATCTAAATCCTTAAGGGGGCGTAAAACCAAAAGAGTGAGTGGACCAATGTTTATAATAATAGTACTAATAATAAGAAAACCATTTTTTATGAACATATTAATCTCCTGTTTTGAAAACACATATAATACTACATAATTGGTTTTCTGAAAACTGTAGCATGCCATGAAAACGTTCGTAAAACATGTACATGTAAAACAATGCTCAATAATGGTGCTATAGCTGCCCGAGGGCAAATCTGTAAATCTCATCAATATTGTACTCACTAGGGGTATCATAGTGGCCCGAAGGCATAACCATCACCAGAGGTGAAGCTATATGACACTAGGTTACGCCAGTGAAGAAACCATGGTCCATCACCCAAAGGTGAATTTGTACGACTCTGGGTTGCGCCAGAAAAGAGGATATAACATATATGTATATGCAGTGGGTCCATCACCCGAAGGTGAAGCTGTACAACTCCAAGTTATGCCAGAGAAGAAATGGGGGCTCTATCACTCGAAGGTGAAGTTGTACGACTCCAGGTTACACCGGAGAAGAAACCTATACATATAACATATCATACCGACACTAACCCCGGGCTAGTGAAGCTGGGGGCATATCATCAATATCATAAACTGTATCCTATGACCATAGACGTCTACATACCGGGTATATCATCAATACCCGTTAGATAAGCACCGAAAACATACCTCAAAACTCATATGCAATCACCAGAGCTCAAAAGCTCAAAGTCTCAACATAAAAATCCATGATAATTCATATCCGTAAATCCAGAGAATTTCAAATACGTAAATCCAAATATTCATAACCGTTAGTAAAATGTCAATTCAATAAATCATTAATATTTCCTTACAATTTAAATAATTCATAAATTCTCCTCAAGTCATAATTATAGAAATCCGTAAAAATATAATATAAAACATACTCAAATCATGAAATATGAAATGCATGCAAACCTAATATTTTATAAAAACATGCAATTAAGAAGGGGTCCACTCACAAGTATTTCATTGCCTGAGAGCCACTCGAACTAGCGAGGTGGTATCACTTCCAACTGATGCACCTAACCACATATAGAGGTCATTTAGTAAAACTCTATTAAAACGATCGAATTTCAGAAAACGGATAGCTGATTCGGATTCGGCAAGTCGAAAAACCTAGGAGGGACCTCGGGTTCTTCCATACGCTGCCACAAGGCGGTGGCCTGGAAGGCCACATGTTGATGTGGGTCGCCAGAAAGGTCGCCGGCGCCGCCGTGGTCACCACCGTCCACTGCAGTAGAGCACATGCCACATCCCAAAACTCGAGGTGTGAGATTAAGAGAATAACTAGACAAAGTGGTTGTTCAAGGGTGTAAAACATATCTCATTTTAAGATTATCTCAACGAAAATTTAAATTCCACAATTCCATTAAATCAAACTACAAAAGTCAATTTTTGAGAAAAAAAATTAAAGATCTCATGATAATATACAAACTACAAAAACGACCTGAACCGTAAAATTCACCGAAAATAGCTCGTTCAACCAAAACGAGTGAAAATTTCCAGATCCAAAGTAGACACATGAATCTAAGTTGTGTCAAAATTTCATTGATTTTCGAGTTCGGGAATTATAGGAAAATTTAAATCTAAAACAGGCATGCTGCTGTTTTCATGTAAAAACAATTTCAGCAGCACCAAATTACTTTGTAAATAAACTGTCTATATTCCAAAGAACAAAAATCTGAAATTTTGCAAAATACCACTTAGGTAGTAGAAACACACCCTCAGTTTTAAACATAACCAAGTTCATAGTGGTTCTTCAAAAGTCATTCATAAAACCTTATAGATTATAATGAGTTCACAAAAGGCTTTCAAGGCTTCTTACAAGGAAACATATTCAGGCCATTTGAGGAAAATGTACATGTACAAAACTATATAAGCCAAAAGACGAGTAATTACATATACATGGTTTTCATAGCCCAGGTAAGTAGAAACTTAAACCCACCGAGGTCGACATCATTTTAGTCTACTACGCACAAAAGGATCATTTACAGATAGAGACTAACTATACAAACACTTTGGCAGCTCACCCAAAGGAAGTGTACGTCTGGACTCCCTTCTACTATCCCACACTAGAGCTGCCACTTGAAAATTAGCTAGCCGACTCTACACACTTGAAAGTACATGTTTAGAAAAACGGGTGAGCATAAAATGCCCAGTAGGGGGCTTTCAGTAAGTCTGTAGTCATTTAAAATTTATGGTGCATGCCAGAAAATAATAAAAGTAATTCGAAAACATTTATATTCATTACCACAAAATCCAACAATCTTAAATATGCTCCAAAAATGCTTGGAGGTAACATATGACAGAAAAACCAAAGTTTTAGAACATTAGTAGCTTTGTTAACAACGGTACAACACACTGGTTCAGAAGTCACTTCCTTTGTCATAAGGATAATAAAGCCATTATCATTTAAAGAAACACAAACACAACTAATCTCAAAGATTTTCTATTATCCCAAACAAGTGACTAGCAGATTGGAACGAACAATAGTAATAACTGGCCAATTTACATATCACACGTATTTATCACTTTGATAACTCATTCTCACATTCCATACATGGAGCTCTTCCCGGGGAACATTGGGTCATTGTGCCCATAATCAACAACATCACGAGTCATTGTGCACATGTATTATACTACTTTCCATATTCTTTCACAATTTGAACATTCGTATCAAAATGCTTCAAAATTCGATATTGAGTAAAATAAGAGGCATGCACATCAAAACAAAATCTTGAAAAATCATTTCAATCATTTTAAACTCACCAAAGTTGTAGCAACGGAATTCGAATCATTAAGATCAAACCATAGAGAAATATTTTCTTCACTTCTTTCATATAATCGAAAAAAGAAAAACACTTTAGGTAAGCTTCAAATAGTGCTCAAATGCCAACAATCCTTGATCAAGTAAAAATGAAAATCCAAAATATTTCTTTTTGATTAAAACTCCCCTACCTCAACACAATTTCTTGATATTCAACTCCCAGGGTGTTCGTCAACTTGTTCCATAGTCACCTTGGTCTTCTCCTCCTTATCTATAAAAAGAAAAATCATCACACACCACTTATACAAAATATCAGACAACGAACCCTAATTCAAGATTAATTGGGGGCTTTAATCAAACACTTGATGCTCAACTCTAAAACTATAGCATGAACTATGATACTTTCCTGTTTCCTACTCCCACCCAAACTAATTCATGGGTTATCAAACCAATAACAATTAGATTCCAAGGGTAAGAAATAGATACCTTAAATGGAGACAAAGGAAAGATCCTCACTTGTTCTAATCTTTACAAATAGAGGAAAGGAAAGCTAATTTCCTCCTCCTTCAATTTTTGTTTTGACAATTTAAGGGATAAAAGGGATAAATCCTTTCATTCCTTTCGGCTGAAAGGGAAAACAGCAATATGAGGGGGTTTTCTAGAAACCCCATCCCCTTTTCCCTTTTTTTTTAAATTTTACATGAATTCTTTTCTTTTAGTTCTTCTCTTTTCAAGCCAAAGCTTGGTCTCAAAAGTAAGAGAACTTTTAATGGCCGCAAGCAATTCACTCTTAATCATTACCTAAAATTTTGAGGATATTACAGCACAGTACCTCCAGTAGAGACGTGCATCGGCCATGACGCACACCCACACGCAGACCATGGAACTGAGATGGGGTCCTGGTCATTGGATTGGATCCGGGTTACGGTAAGTGGGTTGGGCCTGGGTTAAGATAAATATGTTAGGGTCAATGAGTTGGGCTTGATACATGGCCCAAAGGTTTGTGCCTGGTTTTGAGTTGCAGGTCGAGTCAACCCGATTCCACATCGTAGGTTGGGTGGACTCCACGAAAAAGAAAGTTGGAGGTTCCAAAGCTTTGATCAACCTCGAATCTCAACTAAACCTAGTCCTTCTACATACCAAAATGAAGCCCAAGGAACAACGAAGAAGATTATACCTTTGGTTTCCTCAGCTGTGGTTGGAGTTGGCCGAAAAAGGGTTCGAAGCCGTCGGATATTCGCCGAAATTTGGGGAATTTTTCCTCCAATTGATCTGCACCAGAATTTCATAAATATGCATGTCTAACCTAACAATTAAAGTTAGGATATCTAGATAAGGAAGATTAAGGAAGTCCCGAGACTCATCATCATCGGAAAATCGAGGAATCGCCAGGAAAATCAAGAATAGTGGCAATGGCCACTGTGCGTTTCGAACCATCCACCTGGCGACCAAAGCAAGTTAGGGGAAGTGATGGTGGTCTGGGCGGTTTGCCGAAGGAAGGGTGGCGAGGTGGTGGTTGGTTTGAGGTGAAAATGGTGAGTAAGGGGTCCGTGGGTGTGCTCCGGGGGGGGGGGGGGGTGGGGGGGAGGGGAAGGGTGATAGAAAAATGAGGGAGAGAGAGATCGAGAGAGTCCCAGAGATTGGGGGAGGGGAAGACATGTGGCACAAGGGGAAGTGGGGTGTAGCCCTAAGTGACAGATTTTTATAAATTAACAAAAATATCTAGAATAGTGAAATGACTATTTTACCCCTTAACTTCATAGCTCCATAAAACGTTCATCATAACTCCAATTTCGATTCCGCTTGCGCCCACACCCTCGTAGTGACGAGTGCTACAAGGATATGCCAAGAAAATGAATCTTATGTGACACGACAAGGTGGTCAACAAAATTAACGTTTTTGCCTCGAAGGGCATTTTCGTAATATCTCATTTTAAAATTATAAAAACCATAATATTTAGGGATGGGTCGTTACAGAAGCGCCGAACAAGCTCTCCAATATTAAAGTTGTGAAGATATTGATCACCTAAATGTTAACGGTGATGTCCCAAAAGTCGTTGCCAATCAGCCAAGTCGTCATCAAAGGTGATCTTGATCCAGGTTCAATTTGGTGAAGGTGTCGAAGTGTGTAAAGTTGGATGTATTGAGGTTTTTTTAGAGAATAGACAGCGAAGAAGGTAGAGGAATGTGGATTGGGATTAGAGGTGATTGTAGGACTGGGTTTTTGGGTTCACAATTTTTTATTAACAATTAAATTATTAAGCCTATTTGTAATTTTTTTTAATTTAGTTAGGCTTGTGTGATCCATTTCTGTGTCACATCAGCACATAACAGAATTTTTGACATAATTGTGATGGAATGACTACATTGATTGGGGACCCTTATTTACGGGACTACATTGATCAAATTTTAATTTCAGGGATCACTTTGATGTCACATGTTAATTTCAAGGACCATTTTGATGTCACAGGTCAATTTCATGGACCATTTTGATATCGCGGGTCAATTTCAAAAACAATTTGTGAGAAAATAGGACTTATGAAACCCATTTATGTGCCACATTGTTACTTAACGAAATTTTTAACAGAATTGTGACAGAAGGACCACATTGATTTGTGACACCTATTTTCAAGGACTACATTGATTGATTTTCAATTTTAAGGATCATCTTGATGGTGAGAGTCAATTTCAAGAACTATTTGTGATAAAAACCTAAGTTTATATAAAGTTACATTAGATAAGCATGCAAAGAAAAAAACAATAAAAAAGGTGGGTTAATTTAAGATAAATCCTAATCACGAAAACAATTGCGTTATGATATAACCATGTTTATTGATGAGGGTGAAAACCCACTAGATATTATCAATCATGCGGTGAGGACCGATACCGTATATGCTAGGGTTTTTATGCCGATTGATTTGGTATTGTTGTGTTTTGAAAAAAAATTGCTTCTGCTGTGCTGTGAGAATAAGCTTATTTTTGCTGCTTCACGTTTTCAGATTTTTTTCATCAAAAACTATGAAAATAAGCTGTTTTTAAGTATTTACCAAACACATTTTTTAGTTCAGTTTTTTTTTATACCCACTTTTTATAAAAGTACATCAGTACCAAGTCAGTACTAAATCATGGTTTTTTAAATATTAATAAACTAATCCAAATTAGGCCATTAAACACAAACTTAGATTATATGAATGTATATGTGTGCCAAACTTACTTGAATGAGTTTTTTTTTTCTGAAACGCTTACTGCTTTAGTGATAGAAAGCACGAGAGATAAGCTTAGACTAAAGTAGTTATGATTAAAAGAAGCACTAGCCTAAGATATTACAAACTCAAATCGTTCTGGAATGGCCAATTTTACTCTAGGTTTGAATCTGTTGACTTGAACAAGAGGGGAGCCAAGGAATCTAATCTCCTACTGGAAGCCTTTACTTTCCTTTTTCCAGTCTTTGGTGATATAATGTAGTGAGCCAACAAAGTCAAAAATGTGTGCTTAATTTGTAATGGCTTCCCCACTTCCACTTCCATCTCCACTTCACTGCTTGTCATATAAACAACCACCTCACAAAATCTATCTTCAGCTATGCTTTGAAGTGAGTCAAAATATGAAGATTATGAACTTTTCATACCACATTCTTCTCTATTTGCTAGTTTTAAGCAATTGCAGTGCAGAATCTCAAGATCCTTTGGGAGATTTCTGCAACAAAGATAGCACTAAAATAAGTAATGGCACTCAAATATCACAAAATATTGATAGCTTGTTGGCTGAATTGGTTCCGAAAACTGCCTCAACCGGCTTTTTGGCTACCACCTATGGGGAAAAGCAAGACCAAGTTTATGGCCTGGCTCAGTGCAGAGGTGACGTTGTGGGCACCAAAGACTGCTCAAGTTGCATCCAAGACGCTGCGAAGCAAATCCGCCAGCGCTGTCCGAACCAAGCAGACGCGCGAATTTGGTATGACTATTGCTTCTTGAGGTACAGTGACAAGAGCTTCATTGGGGAAGTTGACACATCATATGGTATATTTTACTATAATGTTTACAATGTGACCGACCCCGAGAAGTTTAATGAGGAATTAGGAGCTCTGACAGATAAGATTAGGAAACAAGCTGTTGTGCCGGAGAGTGGAGGGCTCGGGAAAGGTGAGACAAAGCTATCACCATTTGTGACACTCTATGCTTTGGTGCAGTGCACAAGGGACTTGTCTAAGCTAGGCTGCTCTCAGTGCCTAGCTATTGCAGTGGGAAATTTCCCAACTTTTTGTAACAACAGAAAGGGATGTAGAGTTTTGTATAGTAGCTGCTACGTTAGATATGAGCTCTATCCATTTTTCTACCCTCTTGATTCAAACAATACCCTGCATGCCGTGGATGATAATAATGTAATGGCTATAGCTTATCCATAAAATTTGTACGTCTAGTATACGATATTCCGAAAAGAAGATGTACAAAGTGCAATAAAGAGGGGCACTGAACCGTGTTTTATTATCTGTTTGTTAAGTTGTCCTTAAAGCTAATGGAATTCCATATTTTGGTGCCAAATGATTCAAATTTCAAAGAAAGAACGGACAAATTTTTACAAGGCTTGCATCCCCAATTACAAACAAATTTACAAGGTTTGCATCCCAATCACAAATCTCCTTATTCGTTCACATGTATGAAATCATATGTTTTCCATCAATGTATGTACACAATTTTTCACCCATTAGGCCCTTTACATGTTAATTTGTACCCAAAGTAGACTAGTAGTTGGCTTTGCCATGGCTTCTGGGAAAGGGGATGACATCCCTTACATCATTCAGGCCAGTAGCAAACAGAACGATATGATCAAACTCAAGATTGAATCCCGAGTGCTTAACCGTTCCATGCCGGCGAAGATCCAAGTACCATTCATACTGCTGCGCTGCCAATCCCAACTCCTTAATCCTGCAAACAAGAAACACCAAAATTTGAGATTTATTTATTAGTTTCATTGGTCACAAGAAAGAAAGAACAACCTTTTGAGTTTTTGGCTATTATATAAGATTATTAATGCAAGTGAGTACCTTGCAGTTAGAATGTTGATGCGCTCCTCATTTTGGCTACCAGAAAATAATCTCCCAGCCTGAGAAAAATAAGCATTTTTCAGTAGTTTTCAATTAATTTGCACTTTTGTAGGGATGGGGAAGCTTTGATAAAATGTTTCTCATGGTTTCTTAAAGTGCAAGTATGAGCTTACCTTTGGAACAACCATATCAAATGCTGCAACTGTTTTTCCATCATCGTTCAACCGGACATAAAATGGCTTGGTTTCTTTTGGATAATTGTATATAATTACAGGCTTCTTGTATATCTCATCAGCCAAATAACTGTAATGCATGAAAAAAGAAAATGTTAAGAACCTCAACTGAGATACTGGTTAATTTAGTTATTACCACAATGTTCATTTGCATACCTTAGATCTGCTTCAGTTAGTGAAGCACCCCACTCAATTTTTGTCTCAATTTTCTTGTCTGTAACCTGGCAATTTAAAATCGATTAACTTTCGTAAATAATATAGCTGGAGAAAGAAATGATTGTCAGAATTATACTCAAGGACAATGTTATATAGTAAAACCTTCTTTAATGCATCTAATGCTTCACTGTAGGAAACTCTTTCAAATGAACTTGAAATGATCGACTGAAGGCGATCAATTCTGGTTTTGTCGATTCGTTGAGAAACAAATTTCATATCTTCGGAACAATTTTCCACTACCCATTTGCAGAGGAACTTGAAAAAGTCATCAGCACAATTGATTGCTTCCTGAAAGCTCGAGAAGGTAATTGTTAGATGTGACAAAGAAAGAGATAACACACCTACTCATGCCAAAAACATAAACTTATACCTCTAATTCTGAAAAGGCCAATTCAACTTCAAGCATCCACATTTCTGCAGCATGTTTTGGGGACTCTCCTTTCTCTGCTCGAAATCTTGGCCCAAATGAGTACACATTTCCAAGGGCACAAGCGTAGCTCTCCAGATGCATCCGGCCAGAAGCGGTTAGATAAGTTGGGCTAGAGAAGTAACCCTCAGAAGATTTAACATTGTCAACCTTCTGAGAAGTTTTCGGCTTTGATTTCTCTCTTGCTTCCAGTTGTGATGCTAACTCATTTGTTTTGTTTAAGTCCTGCATTGCAGCAGCTACTGCTTCCT